ATTTTCATTTAATAAGCATTCCCATTTCAGAAAGTGAGATTACAAGGAAATCCAGTCCTAAGCCCTACCCACCACAGTATTATGCCAATGACTCTCACAAAAAGGAAAGCTTGTAGCAATTCATTATAGATTATCCCAAAAGAGTAATAGTAAGAAAAATCCCCCCTCCCCCCAAAACCAGAAACAAACAAAAAAAAGCAGAATTCCCAACTTACACAAGTTAAACCTTCATAAAAGGAACATGAAGCAATTGGGAGCTAAAACTGCAGCACACTCTTCCAGGAAGCTGCTTCCACCCTACAGGCAAAGTGGAGTTTGAAGGAGTGTCACAACGGTTTGCACGCGAGTTTGTCTGGGAATCCATGTAAGAAATACTATCTTTTGATCGCGTACACAAACAGAGCTGCCTCGATTCAGTACAGCACCATTCTTAACAGAAATTTTCATATTCAGTATTCACAAAAGCATTGATCTTGTAGTTGTTTAAATGAACAAACAAAAAACCAAAACCCAAACAGAGAGAAGCACTGCAGGGGAAGGGCTCCATAACAGCAATCGTGAACCCAGACCCCAGGCTGCGATCAGATCGTGTCCCTGGACCAAAGCCCGATTTGCTTAGCGAGGGGTTTGGTTCTATGTCAGGTCCAAAACCAGCAGGAAGCCTGGCCTGTGGTCACGGTTCAGCTGCACTGGGCCAACAGATAGCAGTTACTCAGTTTTGGCCATCATCTACACCTAACTTGGGCATCAAGATGTTTTCTTGGTCCGTCTCTAATTACCAGTCAGTTACTACATGAAGCCCGGGGTGTCTGCTGCTGGGTTCAAAGGAAGTAGCCTCCCATCTCGCTATGTTCGATTCTTAGGTAAATCTTCCTCCTTAGCTAAGGAGGAGAGCTCTCCCACCCCTTCTGAAGAGCACTTTATGTTGGGGGCCTTCTCGGATAACTACCACTTGGAGTAGAGATGTCCGCAGTTTACCAGTCTGTGTCACATCGGAGGGATGAAATATTTGTCTTTGTTACGTCAGTAGTATAGGGTGAGATCTCCACACCTTTAAAAAATATATATTTATATAGCTAGAGAGGTGACTTATAACATTTCTATGTATTAGTTCATCTTATTGACTCATACATGTCTAAGAATGAAATATTTTCTTGGGGATTTAAGGGAGGTTACCAACCAACTTAAAAAAAAAAAGCCTTACAACCACTGCTTCTTTCAATACAGAAACATGAACTACATATACTTTAATATACAAAACCCCATCCTCATATTCACTTGTGAAGCGAGTGGGGGGGAGAGGGGGAGGGAAGATTAGACAACCTTGCAGCAGCATTCAGCTTTGCTAAGTGTTCCATAGCATCTTAAATATTATGTACAGTCTTTCTGAAAGGATACAAACTGGCTTCAGAGTTTGTGGAATTGTAGCAGTAAAACCCAAAACAGTTCCAGGGAATAGTCTTTTGGCAGCATAGCAGGTGTCCGAAGTGAACAGTCACTTTTCTAGTATTTTTCCAGAGAATGAGAGGATCTGAAAAACCTTCTGCAGCTATCCAAGGAAGTCACCACTCCTCTTGGGTGGAGATTGCTGGAGATTGCGGTCCTTCTTGTTCTGGCTTTTCAGTGGCAGACTTTTTATTGCTACAGCAAGGTTTGAAGAGATGAGTGTCTATGAGGACTTCCCCAAAACGCCCTTTGTAAATAATTCCACAGCAGACCTTTTGCCTGGAAGAAACGGCAGGAAGAGAGACAGATAGTTTGTGTGTTTAGAATATACAGAATTTACAGAAATGCAAAAAATCAGCTGGACCCAAGACACTGCTTTTCTGAGCCTCCAGCTCAGAAGATACGAGGGAAAAGGCTGCTCAGAAAGCAAAAACAAGTCTGTATCTAAATCCACAACACCGCTTTGGGGAAAAAAAAAAGGAAGGAAAGAAAAACCCCCAACAAACCCATGTCTATACAAAACTAGGCCTCCCATTTTGCTTCCCAGAGAAGTTTCAGATACACAACTATCTGGGCTGAACTAACCTTGCCTACAATGCACTTGCAAACACTATTTGAGAGGAGGCAGCAAAGTCACAACAACTGCAATAGAGCAATTAGCTAAACAAGGGATTACTGTGTCACAACAGGCAATAAAAGATAACAAGCTCGTCAGCTCCCAGAAAATCTTGTGGTTTTCCTCCCACTCCAGATTTTTTTTTTTTTTAAATGACTACCATCACAGGTCAACCAAATCAAATGCGATGTTTTGCTGGCAAGCTGAGAGCACTGTTGTACTTGGTAACACATCATGTCTACAGAGCACAGTTTTAAGACAAGATAATAACAGTCAGGAATATTATCTGTTACTCCAAAAAACGTAAAAATATTTTCCAGCAACTGTATTAGTATTTAGGGAACTGGAAGAAGATAGGGGAAAATGTCTTAAACACATGGCATTTTTTCCAGAGACAGACAGATAGCGTATAATACTCTGTGTCACTTAAATTATATCCTTAAAACAAATTAAGTTCAGCAGCAGCAAATTCCTGAAGAAGCAGAATCAAGCACTGTGTACCTGAAGTGAATTGCTATCTGCACAGAGTGCACGTTCTGTTGCTTTTTACCTTTTCCAATACGTGAGATCTAAAAAGGAGAAAACCGGTGTTCTGCTGGTCCCAGCGCTCATCTCTGTGTCAGAACCATCGTCAGACTGGTTACTGTAACAGGGCGACTGAGCTGGGGAGGCACTCGAAGTGGTGCTGTGGGCATCGGAATCTGTAGGGGAAAGAATAAATCCAAGAATCGGGACATGCATCCAACGACTTACCCTCTTCCTGACTTGTAAAAGGTCACATGCGGATTTGGAACAGGGAGACAGATTTTTTTCATTAACAAGAAAAACTTAACGATGACAACCCATTGTTCACTTGCCCCTGCTGATTTCAATAGAGAGACTATCTGTCAGCATTTGGGAGACAGTCCTCGGAACTGGAGGGGTTCCTTGTACAGGAGGGACTGGAAAGAGGTTCAGGATCAGGCTTCAGTTCCTGGCTCTCAAAACATAGCCTGTGCAGGCCACGCTTTGGACAAGATCCTAGTCCCACTCTGGAATCACTGGAAGATCCTTGAAGACGATGGGGATCTGTGCTTCAGATCTAGTACTTACTCCCTCACTATAAATCTCCTTTCTTACCCAATCAGTTAAAGTCTTGCAAAGCTCTTCTCATTAGTGCAATGGGCTAGGTGGTATTGAGCTTTTGCGGGATGGAGACTATGAACTATGTACTCAGTGCAGACACATACCTTAACAGAGGGTCTGCTAGCCTACCTGTTAGTTATCATCTCTAGCACCTACAGTAACACAATTAGATTAACTATACTACACTGAATGAGGAGCTACAAGCTCTTTGGGTCAGGGCCTTTACTGATTCTTTGGAGAGCTTTTCCTTCAGGCCAGGTAGGATAATTGAAAGAAAGAGAAAGCCAAATCAGCAACAGTTAAGGAGCTGGAAGGTTTGATTTAGAGGAAAAACCTAAAGTACCGACATCTATTTAGAGCATAACTGGCAGATGGCTTTGTTGGAAAGCTATGAATCCAAATCTATTCGAAGAGTCTAAGCGCTAGTGGAAAGAAATCACTGAGACCGGCAGAGGAAGGCATAAGGAAACTACACAGAGGAAACATGGTAGGAATTTAAAGGGGGGAAAAAAAAAATCTAGGCTAAATAGAAAGCCTGGGTTGGAAACACGTATGGAAGAAAAAGACTGATGGTGGTATCAACAGAACAGTGCTTCTTGGGAAAAGAGAGCTGAAAATGGCCATAGCGCATTACTGAGAGCAAGGGGAAACCTCTTCCAACTTCAGTTTCAATGAGGGTCTTGCCCAAGAAGTTCTTTCTAGAGACATTGTCGTTTAAGCGTGGGACACAAGCTACAATTGCCTACGCTTTCAAGCCAGGCTCCCCACTCCCCCTCGCCGCTTCCCCACCTCTGTCTCGCAGACCACCCTGCGCACAAGCTCTTCCTCCTCATTCCACCCCCTCCCCAAGCCCTCGGAGGATGAGAGGTTGGGAAAACAGGCAGTGCCCAAATGTGTGAGAGCACAATTGAATCTAGATGGTGATTCAGCTTGGCCAGCTAACGGTAAGCTACGTTAGGGGAAGCCAAAGTTTACTGCCAAAATCTCTTTGGATCCACTTACTGTGCCGCTTGAATTCCTTTTGCAGTTTGCTGATTTGATTGCTCTTTATTCTGCTTCCAGACAGAGTTTTCATTTTCTTTGGTTTCAATGTTGTTTTAAGACTGGGTCCAGCCCTGGCATCTACCACCTAGAACACAGAAAAACACATGCATAATACTTCTGCATCATGCCCAGATACTGCCCTCGTCAAGGTACCTGTACTGACTTAGCTGAAGGTGTTCAAAACCAATTTAGTTAAACCAAGGCAGTTCTGTGCACCGACACTCTTATGTTTCATTTAAGTCTGGTTTGTAAGAGGCTGAGTCGGCAGGAAAATGCAGCAAACTAGTTTAAAAAGCACATTCAGTTCAACTTTTGCCTTCTTCCTATCTTTGACAAATTCAGTTTAGTAGACAACAGTTGTTTAAGCCAATACAGGTTCAGTTAAGAGCATCTGCCAAGCATTCGCCCTGGAGTTTTTTAAAAAAAGTCATCAATTTAACTTCTGAATAAAGCCAGCGGTAGTAATAAGCATAGGCCTGGCTCCCATTACCATCAAGGCTTCCTGAATAAAGATTATAACATACGCAAAGAATCCTGATCATCTTCCCAGCCCTAGGCCCAAAAACTGAATTAGATATATCAAAACAGAATATATGAGTGGGAATAGCTGCGAGATATTAGTCATTGTAATTATCTGACTAAACGACATTGATTTACGTGTTGCTTGAGCAAGTCGCTTTACTTGTTCAAACTATTTAAAAAAACCTAAAAAAAAAAGCAACCAATTTTGGATGGAGGCCAAATTTGAAATGTTTTGAGTGTCATAAGAGGCTTTTGGACAAAGTTATGAGCTTGTGAAAACAAGGAATTACAAGGTAAGTTAGTCTGCGACTCCATCCCGGGCTTGCATAATCACCATTTGCATGTACGCCAAATGAAGACAGATAAGAGCCATGTAACAGGAAATACTCCAGAAGGATTTAGAGATGCTGAGGGTGGGAAGGGAGAGTGTGGGGGAAATAGCAAATCCCAAATCCTTGCCAGCACCTCCCCTCTCTAGCAGGATGGACTAAGGCAGAGACGAGTTAGTTCTGGGGTGGAAGAGAAATAAATTACTAACATGATTCCAGTTTTTTTTGGATCCTGCTGGCAATTTTTTCCATCTTTTCACCAAAAGGACACAGGCATTGCAAATATCTCCTGAGCGGGCCTCGTGGAGTCTGGTAAAAACAAAAGCAAAGATCACTTGACAACAGTTAATAAAAGCACCCACACACACACTTGATAACAGCAAGAAGCATAAAAATTGACGGAAAAGAAGGGTTCTCAAGTTCTGTTTTTCAGGCATTACAATTCATCTGGGGTGCTCAAACATTGCCATTTAAAGACCAGGTCTCATTTTCAGAAAGCACTCTTCCATATAGAAACAAAAGGTGGTGTAATCTGCCTCCAGTGAGGCACTAAAAACAACAGTCCCATCACCTTCAGTTGGTTTTGTTTTTAAAAAAACAAAACCAAAACCACCAGAAAAAACAACACACAGTTCCAGTGGGTTGGTTGGTTTGGTTGGAGAGGGAGGGAGGAAGAATAATCATATTCCTTGAATGTACATTTGGGAACAGACCTCAGAGATCCGACAAAAACTTACTCAGCTCTTAACTTTCTCACAGAGCTTCAAGGATGAGTAACAAATACCACCTAGCACACTCCTGCGTAAGCGTAGGATAAGGTTTCAGAAACAGCATTCACTGGAATGACAGCAATACTCGCTCCCTTTAACGAGCGTTCTTCAGAAATCATCTCTACTGCTAATCCACACTAAAAGAAACATAAAGGGGCTAAAGTGTAGAATTTTTCAGCTATTTAAATAGGAAGACTTTGAAGCATTTATAGATGAATGGGGCAGGCTCAGATAAGCCATTGTTTGCTCAGTGTTAAGACTGCATTTTTACCTTGGCAAAAATATTTCAGATAGCACAAGACCAAAGGCCCTGGTATACTGCAAGCTTCTTTAGTGTAGTTTAAAAAAAAAAAAAAAAAGCAACGGGCCTTCACACAGTCTTTCCACTGCCAAGGACAGTAGCCAAGAAACATGACAAGGAAAATTGTCAGCACCAGATTTATGTACAAAAATTCATGGTAAACACAAAGCACTATAAAGCTTTGTTTTTGTCCTTTCAACACTTGAAAGGAGTGTTTCTAGAAAAGAGGAGAAGGAAATATTTTGAAAGATTGCAAAGATTTACACATATGAAGTTAAGCAATTGAGACAAGAGCAGCAATACTGGTATGTATATATAGTTTTTAATATGATACAAGAAATTTCCACTCAGGCCTAAGGTTTTGATGAGAGGTAATCCAACAAGACTGGAAAGAAAAAGCAGAAAGTATCTATTGACAACAGACTTTTTTCCAGGGGAAATAATTTCATGGAAAACCACAGCATAAACAGGAGAAATTCTTATTGCCTCAGAAAAAAAAATTCAAAATAAACAAAGTAAAAAATAATTACAAGCTATCACAGAAGAATTTGCTTTGCTGACAATTCAGGGACACAAATTTAGACAGAATTTCAAAGTCCTTAGGAAGTATATCAAAAAAGTTAAAAGGTTACAGCAGCTGGTACAAGAAATCACTGGTATTTGTAGTTTTGCTTACCAATGCTTTCAAGTAACATTATGTGCAACATTACCTAATTGGAAAGCTAATTACTCGATGCTCACTTTCCATCAGAATGGGTCTCCAGTGAGAAGTTTTAATAACATCTTGATACGCCCTATTTGAACAAAGGCACCAATACCTGAAACAAGGTACTGTGCATAAACCCTGCTAGAACTACGAAGTATTTACCCATCAAGTTTTGCTTAACATTCTTGAATCTTCAGAGCCACAGAAAACCTCCATGGACCTGTGCTGTTTACCACCTTGTGTGGGAATTTACGCCTCTAAGGAACACGTGCAAAACGCACAGTCTAAGAGGGGTCTAAAACCCTGCACGTGCTGTGAGGTGCGAGAGGCACGAGCCTGACCCTTCGCTGTTACGAACTACAGCAGCTCTCCATTGGTAGCAACAGCAGACTGACAACCAAATGGTATTGTACACAGCAGCAGAGGATCCAGCCTCTCCTGGCCTGGCCAGGAAAGTTGTGAGGAAGCTGAAGCCAGCCTTCCCCCACCACCCACCTCTGCTAACCTAATCTTTCATTCTCTCAGAGCAAGAGGGACGGCACATCAGGATCGTGGCCCTGAGATCAACACCACGACTAACCATGATGTTGGCTAAAGAAAGAATCTTACCCAAAACAATTCTGGAAATCCTTTTCATAACGTTTGCTGTCAGTGAAACGAGAACTGGAAGACTTAGCTCTGCAAATACAGCAGCCCTCTATACTCCGATACATCTTCGGTTTGTGAAAGCCAAACATCTTTTCCTCCCAGCTGTAGCCTGTGAAAACAAACAGGAACTGGTGTTACTTATCACTGTTAGATACTGAAAGAAAAACCTGGGCAATTCACTGGGCAAACCAAAAGGAAATTATAATTCAGGATGGGAAACTGCTAGATTAGGCCATAGCTCTATCCTGCATTGCCCCAGAAGAATACACTTATTAAAAAAAAATAATTAACAACAGCGGGAATATTAAGCAATACCCAGCAGGACTCATGACAAGCTCATTTACTGCACAATTCTACTCTAAGGGCACATCTACAACAGCACAAACCAGAGGTGCGAATGCAGCTGACTTGGCTAATGAAAGCCCTATGTATGTGGCAGGACGGACAGGCTGTGTGAACCTGCCCGAGCCCCTGGATAAGTAGTTGGCAGCTGAACCCCGGGTCACTGGAACTACTTTGTCATCATCACCGGTGGTTGTTGGAAACATCCCTGTCAAACTTTGTTGAAAGTGAGTAGGAGTCATTTTAAATGAGCTGCAGTCATACCTCTAGGCTGTAGGGCAGACATACCTGAAAAGCTGCTCTAAAAACAGCAGGGTGGAGTCCCACCCAGCCCTCAATGGCCATGTCTGCACTGCGGGACCCAGGAGCGCTTCTTGACTCTCAGGCCTGGGTGAGCATCCCAGCCACGTCCCAGCTCCGTGTCAGCACAGGCTCAGTTCTCGCCCTCCCGCCTTCCCCGCCCTGCTTTCCATGGGAAGGAAACCCAGCTAGAAAAGGGCTGGGGAGCAGGACCCTGGGGCACGTTTCAGCATGCGCCTACCGCACATCCCAGCCACCGCCAATGACGCCGGAGCAAAAGGTAGTCCATTTATAGGGAAGTTGTTTCTTCTTAACCACCAGCTCTGCAAACTCAGCACCGGCTCAGAAAGCCAAAAGCCATGCTGCTCTTAGAGGTCTGCCTATCCTTTTCAGTACACCTGGGCTGGGATTTGCTATCAGAGCAGGTAACATACAGTGGAGGTGTTTTCCAGGCAGAAACTTTTAAAGTTAGTTACAAGTGGATTTCCTGCAATCACCATGACGAAGACCCCTTCCAACACGTCCCCACCACCAAATCAGTTCTCCCCAAGCACCAGTTACTCCCCAGTGCAGACTCCTGTTAGGCACAGTCTGACACGGCGTGAGAAGCTGTCAGAGCAAACAGAGCTCCCACAGCGCTTCAAAAAACCAAACCAACAACTGAGCAAAGCCAGTGCTTTCCTGGCACTGGCCCTGGACACACAGCACGTCCTCACAGGCCACACAGCATCTGTCTTATAACGCAGGTGGGGACCGTTCCAAGAGTTTCTCTTTTAAACAGACCACGGTGCAAGGTTTGCCTCCATCACCCGCTGCAGGGAGCAAGCAGCCACCTCTGCTGCTTCTTATCACACCCTAACTGCTCAGAGAGGGGACAGGCCACCGGCTGCAGAAAGCTCCATGAGAACAGGTTCCCACTGCTGAGAACTTCTGCTTTTAAAAAATTAAAATTAGACAAGAGCCATGCAAATAACAAAGAAGATCTCCCCCTCTTCCCTCAACAAAGGGCCAAGTCATTACATTCTTGTAGAAGCTAACAGAAAACTACCTCTCCTCCCCACAAATACTACTGAAAGACCCAGTAGCTCAGGCAGGACTTTCAGGAGAGCAGCATCTCCATCACTTGTGGGCAAGTCTGGCGAGAGGGAACTCCCAAGTCCCAGAAACACAACTTGGGTTACTGGCAAATGTATGTGGCATAGGGATCTGTCCCCAAATCTTCCACCTGCGGGAAGGTAAGGGACATAATTCTAATATCCTCCAGAGGGACAGAGAAAATTAACCTGAAATCTTCAGTCTACAGGGCCAAGACTTGCCACATCATTACAGCAATAAAATAATTTGAAAAGCAGCTTCAGGTGAGGTCAAAAATGTGCTTCCACAAAACGAGCATACCTAGCATCATGCTTACCTTACTGACAGAGATTGCATGCAAGGGAAAAAGATCCCGTGCATTTTTGCAGGACCACAGCAAAAGCTAGTGAGGCACCCAGTCCTAGTCACAGTCCTCCACACAGAGGTAAAAATACAACTCCCCACCCCAGAGGGGAAGATCAGAGCATGGCAGCACCACAAAATAAACACACAAGGTTCCACACAAGGTTCCCAGGCTCCTGAGAACAACGGAAAAGCAAAAATTTTATCTAATATTGTTGGTTAATACTCTTACACAAAATCCATTAAGGAACCCATATCCAGCTGAAAGTGTGCATGTTTTACATTTCAGCCTAGCATATTATAATGCAAGACCACTTGGTGCCCACTGAGGTTGCATCTCCTTGCAATTACTACTGCAGAAACATGTAGAAAGACACAAGTCAACTCTCCAAAAAGCTTGTCTTGACCAAACCCCTTGCAGAGCCTGTTGACGGCAAGGGACTTGTTAGGAGAAAGATGGAGGGGATAGGTCTTTCCTTCCCTCCTGTCCCAACTCATGCTGTTTGCCACAGGCTTGAAGTGCTGTATTCCTTTCTTCTTTGTGCACATTGACAGCCCAAGGAGCTCACCTAGGGCTGGGTTCTCGCAAGGATGATTTGTGCAAATATCCAGCAAAGTCACCCCAAATGCTGCCAGGCTTCTTAGGAGACTCATTGCCCCCTCTACTAGCACAGCATTGGCCTGAAGGCCAGGAGCAGCTGTAGTAAGTAGAAGAATGTATCCAGCGAGTGACCTGCTGAATGGGTTTGCTGAGGGATGGTTAGACTCAGAACTACTCTCTGCTTCTGCTTAGATATGTTTTCAGGGACACTTAGCAAATGAACTTGAAGGCACAGCCAAATCGAGTTAGTATCCCTGGACTGTCAAGACAAACAAACAACAGAGTGTCAAGGCAAACACTTAAGAGTATGTATTTTGTTTCTTAGCATCCAATGCGGTCCTTCAACAGACAGTCTCTTGAGGACACTGTGTTTAACAAGCCGCTGGAGATCCAACAGCTTGTTCACCTGGGAACTTCCAACTACCCAACAGTGATTTTAGATTTTGCTTGACTTCCCCAACGTTAAGTCTGTGGTCTGGTGCTTTTCTTTAGAAAGTCAAAGACTAACTGCAGACACAAAACTTAAGCAGCAAGAACATCTTGACTGTTACAGGGCAAGACACAGAACTGATCTCAACAATTTGATTTACTTTCTAACCCGGTTTCTCCCAGAAATCCAGACACCGATGAGATGATCTCTGTCACCAGCTGGTATTTATACCACAGTAGAACAAGATGCATGTTTTACAGTTAACGTTCTGGCAAAGGCTGGCATCAGACACGTATATTCTGAAAATATTTTGTTTTGCATCGTTGCTGCCATTCTCACAGGAGCAGCCTTTCAACACAATCTTTCAATAGGAGGGAAACTAGTGCCATCTGTTTCCCACTTGATGAATGGTCAGCAACAGTATTACCATATATCATGCCTGAATGGGGAAGAGCCTGTAGCAAAACCACAAGTAAAACAGATTTCTCTGACAACTGCATCGAAGTGCAGTTATAAATGGAAGGCGTCAGTCCAGTTACACATTTAATCCTAAACAGTTGCCATTTGACCATTATACACTAAATATTCTGTCAGCTGGAGAGCTTAATAGCTAACGTAGAAGCATTTGAGTCTAGAAGTACTTATCAGCACTGCTAAACTTAAAGCTCTCTGTCTCAGCTTCCATTCTAAACCATAGTTGTGTGTCTAGTACTGGAGTCGACAATACATTTCTATAGACTTAAGTGTACTTACAAGTACATATGACTGGGCGCTTTAAAAGGTTTAACTTGAGAGCTTTGCAATTTAGATCTCAAATTAGAACCAGGGAGTTAAGACTGCCAGCTAGCCTAATGCCTGAATCTTAGCTGTAGGAGTTTAACCACGTGAAATTTGGGACAGATAAAAAGATGGCAAGTAGGAATGTAGCTCCACAGAAGTTAAAAAGCATTACACAAGATAATTTTGCAAAATTTAAGCATGTTATTGAAATATATGACATCTTTTAAATCAGCAGTTGCACAGAAGTGAAAGGGACAGCTCACCAGCAAAGAATCAGAAATCCCAGTAGAGCGTATTTGTCATTCTGCAGAAATGGAGATTTACCTGCACTAGTAGGGGAGCAGCGTTCCCCCAAGCGAGGGGAAAAGCGGTCCTCCTCCTCCTCCCTGGTCTCCCTGCAAAAGGAGAAGTTGCTATTCCCCCAAGTTCTGCTTTAAATAACTGCTTTAGCAACTTGAATGGACTCAGAAAAGACTGCAGGAACAAGTTCTCTCCATCCCTCTGCCCTCTCGCTTTTGGAAAAGGAGCATCAAAAACAGAGACTTGTCTTGCAAAAAATTTGGAGTCAAGCAGAGAACAGTAAAGTAGGTAGGGAATTCAAAAAAACACAAGCTGCTTATTATTTTTGTGAAAGGCTGGTACAAAGCAGCATGCATCATACGTGTGTGAAAGTGGTTTCATGCTTTCGTTACCTGTCAGAACTAGAATTTGGTGCTTAGTTTTCTTCGCAAAATTTAATTTGATGATCTAAATTAAAAGGAGGTGTTCATTAAGTTTTCAAGTTAGGGAAGAACTTCTGAACTTTTTTAGATTTTAGAATAAGAAAAGCTGAGCCACTTTCATTTGCTTTTCCAGATTCCTTCTGCATTCTTTCTGATCACCCAAGAAGAATGAAAACCTTTTATAATAGAAAGGAAGGAATTCCTAGAAGGCAGGCACGTCTCCCTTTGTAACACAATTATCAGGCCAGTTGGAAGGAACATGCTCACCTGCTTCTTGCAAAGCTGAAAGAGAAACATTCCCTGGGGTTATGGGAGAGCAGAGGGATGCCAGTCCAACTACTCAATACCTTCCTCTCTTCCCACCTCCTCGCTCTGACCCTGGAGCATTCACCCTTTGTACAACTGCAAAACTGCCAGCACATTGTCAGAGAGGAGGCGAACCCCTGCAAATAATTTCATTTCCCCTTCTGTGTACAAAACAGCCTTGGCACAGC